GAAGGATCTGTGTGTGTGTGTGTGTGTGTGTGTGTGTGTGTGTTTGTCTGTAGCAGCAGGAGCAGGACCCCACTAACCTGTACCTGTCTAATCTGCCCATCTCTGTGGAAGAACAGGAGCTGGAGGCGCTGCTCAAACCCTTCGGTCACGTGATCTCCACGCGGATCTTACGGGACGCCAGCGGCGCAAGCAGAAGTGTCGGCTTCGCCAGGTGTGTGTGTGTGTTCACATATCAAACCCTCATTACACTGAGTGTTTAACAGACTTCAGTGAAGTCAAGTGTGTGTGCTGATTTATTCTGTGCTAATGAGGGTCAACAACAGCCTCTTCATTTCAACAGCTGCAGTTTAAGATTATTACGAACAATTAATATTCGAAGCCTCAGGACACAATGTTTTTGTGCAGACAGGGTCATATTCTGGATTTTATAAAGACTGTATAATAAAATTCAGTGTGAATCTATAGTTATTAATATTAATGAGCATGTTGTAAAATCTAAAACATGCAGATTTAAATAACAATTGTATGTATAGATTTATTTCTATATTATATTATATTATTTCTATATTACATTACATTACATTATATTATATTATATTATATTATATTATTTTTTCCTAACAGTTACATCTCTGTGCTAATTTATAATTTCTATCATTTTTCTAATTGTATTATTATTTTACTATTTTTATGTTATTTTATTATTATTATTTATTATTTTGTTTGTTTTTTAATTTGTATTTTTATATAATACCCAATGGGAATTTATTTATATTTGTGCTAAAAAAAACACATTGTATAGTCTAAAACATATACCGATTTGAATAATAATTTATTATGATTATTGTTGTTGTTATTGTAATTGTTATTATTATTATTATTTTAAATAAGAATTATTTATTTAGTTTTCTCAGTGTCATCACTGTGCTAATAAACCTTCACATTTCAAGATCTAAAACATACACAGATGCATTAATTTTATTTATTCTTTTTTTTCTTTCATTTTTAATTTTAATTGTAAACACTGGAATTCATGTGCAAATTCTTGTTTAAAAAGTTTTTTTTTTTTTTAAATCACACAAGCCATCTAATAAAGTCAATGCTCTACTGTAAGTCTTTTAAAACCTTTGAAACGACTCAATGCTGTTTGCCTGCTGTGGGTTTTCTTGTGTTTGTGTGTGTTGTTCTTCAGGATGGAGTCCACAGAGAAATGTGAAGTTGTCATACAACATTTCAATGGGAAATATCTCAAGACTCCAGCAGGAACCCCAGGTAGAGCTGTGAGCGCTCTCAGTTCACTACAGCTCAACAAACAGAAATAGAAAGAGAAACGCTCAGCACCTTGTTTTGGTGATATTGGATATTGCGAAGGTCTTTCATAGCTCATGAAGTTCTTGGTTTCATAAAAGTGTCAGCTTTGTCTCAGGTTTCTCGCAAGCTTTGTTAGGAGAAATGAGACCCAAATGAGTCGCTAGCTATCAATGAGTGAGAGTCTAGAGCTGTTAAGTCACTGTGGAGCTGCTCAGATGATCTGGTGAGAAACAGATGAGATCGTATCGAGATGCTTTGATTGCAGACGCGCGTTTCCTCTCTTCAGCGCTCAGTGTGATTGACTGGATTGAGACTAACAGCATTGTTTCTGACTGTGGTATCAATCAGAACTGAGCTCAGGCTGGACAGGAAGTGATGATCAGTGGCAGCTTGTGGGTTTTAAAATAGAGGAGGCACACTAATTGTATTGGTCTGGGATCCCTGACGATTATTATTATTATTATTATCATTACTATTATTATTATTATTTGCTTAACCACTTTAAAATGGCTTTCTGGTTGCTTTTAGTCAGAAAACGTAAAGAAAACGACACACATACAGCAAGATAATATAATTTCACAGTGAACACTCGATGCTGATTGGCAAATTTTTTTTACCAAAGGAGGCACGAGAGCTTAGCTCTCCCCCGGCCCCCCCCTCCCCTTCTATATCACCTAGCGGTTGCAATTACATCAGCAGATTCGGCACACTGTCTGTTAGAAAGTGGAAGGAAGTTTATAAACGTCCCACAAGGAAACATTTTTATATTGTTTTGGGAGAATTTTGTCTGTCTATCTATCTATCTATCTATCTATCTATCTATCTATCTATCTATCGTTATATCTAT